ATTCCATGGAAGAACTTATCCACAACCTTGTGGATAAGACAATCTCTGATGCAGGGTTCAGCAAGCTATCCAGAAGCCAATCCAGCCCATTGCCTATTTGTGTAAACAAAGTTTTACTGGAAGTCAGTTACACTCATTCTTTTACCTATTGTCTGTAGCTATTATCACACTCTAATGGCAGAGTTGAATCTGTGGTTCAGAGGTTGTGTGTTCACAAAGCCTAACATTTTTATTATCTAGTGCTTTACAGAAAAAGTTTGCAATGCCTGTTCTAACTATCTGTTTTTTTAGGTTTATTATCTGAAGATGATAATAACTAACTCACCTATCTGTAGTAACAATTAAGGAAGACCCCATATCTGGAATATCCTAAAGAAAGCACACACCCCAAAATATGGCCTATTGTGTAAGCCATGCTCTATAATCCAGCATTTTGGGGGGGGGGGGAATCCCACCCCGCCTCTATCTATCATGCCCCTTCTTTACTGGAGGAGTTTTGCTCTCCTTGTACTCCATCTCCCAACACTACAAGAGGCTGATGTCTCCTATTACAAACAATCTCAAAGCCTATTCCATGAGTTGTTTATTAACATCTCTGCCATTCTCCCTTCAACCAGGGTGGGATCTCTGAAATCATCTTGTCTCAACTCTTCTCTTGCTCATCAGTCCTATTTATTCAACCCACAAAATAGCTTCCAAGCCATTCCCTCTTCAACATTTCCTCTCCCTACTCCTACCCTGGGCCCCACTGACTCTATCAACCCAACAGCCTCACAATTCATTTCCCAAACAATATATGTATGTGTCCTGCATACAAATGTCAGGCGTGGCAAAATATTTCTTGAACAAATTATCTCCTTTCAGGACTCTTCAATATCATATTGCTGCCCCCTGAGGTAAGTACTTAGCTTTGCATTCTAAGAGACTCCACAACATGATTTCAAGCTACACCTCCTCACTAACTTCACACTACATTTCCTGGGTATTTTCTATGCTTCATGTACTACGTAAAGCACTGAAAATAAAAATATGAGAAACTCAGCTCCTGTCCTCAAAAAACTCAAAATCCAATAGGGAAGACAGTCCTTAAACCTAAAGAAAGGGGAAAAAATTACCCATACAAAGTAAAGTGATTTAAGGAGCACAATAAGAATGCAAGAACTAATTCTGCCACAAGAGGCAGAGAGGCTAAGGTTTAGGGGTGGCTTCCTTAACCTCAGAGGAGAGGGATTAAAGAAGAAAGGGTGACGACAGGAAAGGAAACATAGGATATGGGATGTAGGATCTCTACCATTTCTGTCTACCATTTCTCCACCTTTTTTTTCTAGAACAGTGATTTTAAACCAGAGGCACTTCTTCCCCACACAGGGCATTTGGCCATTACCGAGAGCCTATTTGATGGTCATGCCTGGGCAAGAGAGGCAACTACTGACATACAGCAGGTAAAGGAAAAATGATTCTCAACATCCTACAATACACAGGACAGCCCCTCACAACAAAGAATTAACCAGCCCAAAATGTCAGTAGGGCTGAAGCTGAGCAACCCTGCTCTACAGCCTAAAAGAGAGAGCCTCACGGACATAATTGCAAGATGTGTTGGACTGCTGACAATACAGAGATAGCAAAGGAGGATGAGTTATGCCTGGACAACCTCGCTCACCAAAATCAAAGGGGAGAATGCAAAGCTGAATGGAGGGCAAAAGGTGATTAATAAATGTTCCACATCTAAGGCCTCGTGAACAGGAATAGATCTGATCATCAGGCCAAGACAATCAACTGTGAAGGAAGGGAAAAGACCCGGGCAAAGAGGCTGAAGCAGAGGCCATCAGCGCTTTCTGTTACACATCATCCAATTCAATGCATATTTATTGCACAGCTGCTACTAGATGTCATGAGGGAAACAGCAATAAATAAGTCACAATCCCTGCCTGCAAGAAGGCTGAATTTCAGTAGGAAGACTCAGAAAAGTATGTAAGTTAATACAGTACAAGAGAAATTAAGATACTTGTCCTAAGAGAAACACACAGGGGTTCAGATACACACAGCTTGCAAGGATTCAGTGCAGTCGTAAAGAATAATTCCACTGAACATCCTCTCAATCTTCCAGTGAAAGAAAAAAAATCAGAGGAAAAGTAAATCCCCTACCTTTGTTTGCAAGGCTCTACATGCCTGGCATAATTAACAAAATTAGCAATATACAATATGTGTTACTCCCAAATAGCCCAACTGTTAACATTAGTCTAACAAAGAAAAGGTAGGATTCTTTCTATAGAGTATTCTCATGGAGATTTTACTTTCTATTGAGAAACCCATGAAAAAACTTAGTTCCAATATCCTAGAGTCAATCCTACAGCACTGAGAGGCTCTTAGTTATGTTTTGTTTTGTTTGTTTTAACTTTGGGTGGGTTTTATTTCTCCTGAGGTTAAAAAGCCGTCCAGAGGACAGCTCTTTAAATATTCCCCTCAAAAGGAGTCTCAAATCTAACATGAGAAAATAGAGAAATCCCTAATGGTCCAGCCAACATACATTTTTCATAAAGTGATTACCCTCTTGCAGCCTCAGCTTCCTAAGCCTTCCCACTTCTATAATTGTTTTCCTTGTAGGCCAGGCAACAATTACCACTGCTACAAGACTGAGGAGGTTCACAGGCAATATATTTTACAATACATAAGTGTAGTGTCTCTGATATCTGGTGCTTTTATCACTAATTGCACTATAAAATGCGCTATTAAAACAGGGACAAACAAGATTGTAAAAATCACATAATGGACCATGACCACTTACAAAAGCCATTCATAAATGTTACTGTACCACTTATTTTTCTTTAATTTTTCAGTTGTATAATTATTTTTCCAAATTTCTATTTCTAGGGGATACCAAGAAAAAACATATATTTGAAAATTATATAACATACATATTTGCCCTTGCATATACTATTTTGTAAATGGGCAAATAATTAAAATTTTTTGGAATATCAGACAATGTGCTAGGAATAGTGAATTCCTAGGGATAACTATGCGATCTCTTAAAAGAAATTATAAGCACAGCAAATGCATTTAAGCCATGGTTTCTATTCAAACTTCAGAACACAGGACAGAAAATATGAAAGAAAATGCAGAAGGATTTCATAATTCTAATCTATGAAACATATAATACAGCAAAGCCAGTAATCCATTTAATATCTTGGGGAAAGATAGAATGATCAAATATTACTGCCAATTACTAGAAGACATGGGTCACTGGAACCACCAAGAGCATTTTATGTCATCGGCTCTCAGCATTAATTTGCAAGCAAATTTTCAAGTTTGTAGATAAGCCTTTCAAGTTGTTCGTTATTTTGCCACGTCTAACCATTAAAAAAAAAAAAAAAAAAAAGGGACTCCGGAATAAGAGAATGAAAATAACAGTATTTGTGTTACCCACTAATAAATTCTAATGAATACTTGGATGCACCTGGGAATTTTAAGGTGTGACTCAGATGAAATGCTGGGACTCTCTGTAAGTTTCATTTAGCCATTACCAGAGACAAGTGAGTTCTAACCACAGAACATAAATGCCACAAACCAAATAGTGGCTAGCCTCTATAAAACTAACAGCAAGTAACCCATTAATTGAGATTATTTGTTCTTCTTCTCATAGGATAATCTTCTGTCAACTGAAGAGGTAACTGCTGCCATAATGTGAATATCAGAGGGAAAGTGTGATTGATCTCAGGTCCCAGAGCACTTGCACAAGTCTACCGTACCTCAAATATCCTCCCTAAATCCTTGTAATGGCCTAAACTTACTAAAATCAGAATCTTTTGCTTTTAAAACAAATGAGCAGTCACAATTAGAAACATCTTAATTGTACTTAAATTATTGTTTTCTTTCTAGAGATAAAAGTTAGTGCTCCACCAGTGAGAATGGGGAAAATTAACAAGGCAGGAAACCACAAATGTTGGAGAGGATGCGGAGAAAAGGGAACACTCTTACACTGTTGGTGGGAATGTGAACTGGGGCAGCCACTCTGGAAAACTGTGTGGAGGTTCCTCAAAGAGTTAAAAATAGATCTGCCCTACGACCCAGCAATTGCACTGTTGGGGATTTACCCCAAAGATACAGATGCAATGAAACGCCGGAACACCTGCACTCCGATGTTTATAGCAGCAATGTCCACAATAGCCAAACTGTGGAAGGAGCCTTGGTGTCCACCGAAAGATGAATGGATAAAGAAGATGTGGTTTATGTATACAATGGAATATTACTCAGCCATTAGAAACGACAAATACCCACCATTTGCTTCAACGTGGATGGAACTGGAAGGTATTATGCTGAGTGAAGTAAGTCAATTGGAGAAGGACAAACATTATATGTTCTCATTCATTTGGGGAATATAAATAATAGTGAAAGGGAATAAAAGGGAAGGGAGAAGAAATGTGTGGGAAATATCAGAAAGGGAGACAGAACATAAAGACTGCTAACTCTGGGAAATGGAACTAGGGGTGATGAAAGGGGAGGAGGGCAGGGGGTGGGGGTGAATGGGTGACGGGCACTGAGGGGGGCACTTGACGGGATGAGCACTGGGTGTTATTCTGTATGTTGGTAAATTGAACACCAATAAAAAATAAATTTATTAAAATAAATAAATAAATAGATAAATAAATAAATAAATAAAATCTTTTATAAAAAATGAAAAAAAAAGTGCTCAATCTTTCAACGGGAAGACAGAAAAGCAAAAGGACAGATAAGAGAAATATTTGCTCTCATTTAAGAAATGGAAGTCACCTGACTCCATAAGAATCATTTTTAAATATTTTAAGTGGTAAGTATACTTACTTTTTCAAAAAAAAAAAAAAAGTCAAATACTTGAAATAGCAAAAACGATGTTGGATAGATAAAAATCAGAAGCTTGTTTTTCAATGTCCTCTCCCAAAAGGTATTCCTTAAGACATGCCAAACTGTGTTATAAAATGGAGTGGAATGGGGAGTATACACATGAACCCACATACAAAACTTACTTTGTCAGACGCCTCAGAAGCCAACAGGTTAGTTGCAAGAGTTTGCAGCTTATGATGGGCCATGTTTTTAAGAGCAGCAAGGCTACGCCGTGTCATGGCTTGCTTTAGGTTGACCGCCGGATGACTGAGAGAGTCCACTGCAGCAGGAACGGCTTCATCGCAAGCATTCAGTATCTCCACTGCTGTGATCCCCATCACACAGCGATCCAAAGCACCTGGAAGACGTATACATTCACAGTCAGTGCACATAACACTATAACTGCTTCTGGCCATTTTTTAGGGAAAGAAAATGCTTTGTCTTTTTTTATGTGTCAATACTTTCCTCAGGGCTTCCCTCCTCTGATGACCTTCTACACAGCATTATCTTAATCATTTCTCCTGTAATGCCCCAACCACAACTTCACAAGAAAGCCAAGTTTATTTTTTTTAAAGATTTATTTATTTATTCATGATAGACACACACACACAGAGAGAGAGGCAGAGACACAGGAGGAGGGAGAAGCAGGCCCCATGCCGGGAGTCCGACATAGGACTCGATCCCAGGGCTCCAGGATGGCGCCCAGGGTCAAAGGCAGGCGCCAAACCGAAGAAAGCCAAGTTTAAAGCCAAGACCTCAACAACTTCCCCTAAATTTTTCCACTGTCAACTTCCAAGACGGTCTTCTTGATACTCCACATCATTACTCTACTATATCAATTTCTATGACTTCAACTTCCCCTAAGTTGTCTATCAATCCCAAACAAAAGAGCTAAATTTTGCTATTCTCATTTTTTCTACCTTAATAATTCCCGGAGCTTCTCTTTCTCTAGGAAATCTCTGTAAAACAAGGAAAAATTATAATTTCTCATTCTGTCTGTAAATGTCTTGACTTTTATTGTTTATACCCAATCAAATGTTTCTCTGTATATTTGTGAAAATAACTACTATTCCAACTTATAACCACTTCAAAGCTTCTTCATTTGGCCATTGTTTCCACTGATCTCTATCTATGCATTTCATGTCTAAGTTAGGCACAACTCCTTCCTATAACGCAGACAGCTTTTCTGTACACTTTGTTTTCTATAGTACACAGCCATCACACCAGGCAGAGAAGGGTCTCAGTCTATGGATTTGTACATAATCTTCTGAAGATTATAATAAGAACAGTGAAATAATGATGAAGTTTACTTTAATTCACTGGGCATTCCTCCAGAGTCATTCTAAAAGAGGACAAATCAATTTTGAAAAATAACCATAGAGAACACCAGAAACTTAAATGTCAACAACATACAAGAGTTTTATTGTGTCTTTGAGCTAGTATCCAAACATATATTATTCCCGATGCTGAGTTTTTATATACATGCCATTCAAGTTTGCCCTTCCCCTTCCTTAAAGGGCTTAACTTTGGACTCACTGTCCCCTTTCCAATAGTAGTCCTGGAATTAAATCATGGTGATTTTAGTATTAACACAAATCACTGTTTTACTAACCAGTTCATTGAATCTTGACCAATATATTTTGGAAGGCAAAGCATAGAAAGGAATTGTGACCTGAAACTTTTTGTGTATGTATACTCTAACAGGATTTCTAAGTTCAAAAGTGTTCAAAAATCACCAGCACATATGATTCTTTCACACATCCTGATCTCTTGGCTCTTTGAGTTCCTCTACTCCAATAAACTTTGCCCTACACTTGACCCCAGCCAATGGCCACATTATAATCTTCTTGTTACCAATAACTAAATCCCATTATGATCCCAACTTCAAAAATGCCACTCTCTGATAGTGGCTTCCATTCTTTACTTCGATCCTCTGATACAATAATTCCTCATTCAGCCCTGACTCCAACAGTTCATTAGCCTATCATGCTTGCCCTGTCCCTCACTTCCCTATGTCCCATAAACTAAAATTCCATCATCCATCCTCATAACTGCAGCTCTGTTCTTATCTCGCTTCCTTGCACCAGCCAAGCAAATTCCAACCTTGGTTGTTGGTTTTTTTTTTTTTCCAACCTTGGTTAAATCCAACTTTCCACCTATGCCAAACCTGTACAATGAAGATGAATATGAATGAAGAACATGCTAAAAAATCCACTTGAAATTCATGACCACTGATCTCAAGGGGTCCTTAATGACCACATTTCCACAGATCTTTCATTTTCCTACTCTCCTAATTATTTTATACCTTTTCTCTCCTCCAATCTCCAACACCCCATTTTCCACCCTCACCTGGCTGAAAAGTTGTTTCCTAGCTCATTTAGAAAGAAGCAATTAAAAAGAAGCCCTACCAGCTCCCATTACCATATCTCCACTCATATTACTCTATAATTACACGTGAACTATCCAAACACCTAACCTAACACACTTGTAGCTTAAACCTGATCCCTCTCGTCTGCCCACAGATATCATTTCAGCAATTCTCCCCTTTCTCTTTTTCCCATACCTACTTGATCATTCCCACCAGCACATGATCATTTCCATCAGCATATAAACATGCAATTATTTCACCTGTTAAAAAAAAAACACAACACAGACCAATAACAACAACACACTTGACCCAATATCTCTTTCCAGCTGGTATCCCATTTTTTATATCATCCTCTGTATTTGCTACCTACAAATTTTTCTCCTCCCATTTTTCCTTAAACTTACTCAAATCAGATTTCACCCAAATATGCAGAGAACCTTCCTCTCCATGTTGCTAAATCCAATGTTTAGTTCCCAGTCCTCATTTTACTATCATTCAGAATCAGCAATACTTGTTCTTCCTCTCTACTCCTTGAAACACTTTTTTTTTTTTTCACTTGGTTTCTAGGCAATCACACTCTTCATTTTCTTTTTCCTGGAGAGTCCATTTTAGTCTCCTTTGCTGATTTCTTTCACATCACAGAAATATATCTAAGCCCTGGAGTGCCCCAATTATTATCTACTTGTATCCTCTTTGTAATGCACCTAATGTCATGACTTTGAGTATCTTCTCTGTGCTAAGAATTCCCATATTTACATCACCTGCTCTGATATCCCCAACTCAACCCCTGAGTTCTATATACAATTCACTAATCAACACCTCTACTTGAATGTCTAATACTCAACTCAATATAAAAAAAATTTAATTCTTCTTTCCAAAATCTACTCTTCCCATTGTCTTCTCAATGTCCAGAAATGAATTCCATCCTTTGAGTTGCTCATGATTAAAACCTTGGATCATCTTTAACCCATCTCATTCTTTTATGCCCCTTATCCAACTATCAGCAAATCCTGTTCACTCTCCCTTCAAAACATACTGAGTTTAACCACCTTTCACCAGCTCCACAGCTACCACTCTAGTGTAACAATCCATCATCTCTTATTGGCTAGAGGCAATAGCATAAAAGCTAATCTCAATGCCTCTACTCTTTAACCACTTTCAGGCTATTCTGGAAAAAAAGCAGGAAAATAATGATTGATAGGACAAAATTCAAATCAATAAAAATCAAACCAGAACTGCCACAGAATTTTTAAATAGCAAACGAGGACACTGAAAGTTATTATAATTGTATTCCAGATGTTCAAAAGTTTGAATAAAGAGACATGGAAGATACCAAATGACCAAAATCACACTTAAGGAGATGAAAACTACAATGTCTGAGATGAAAAATACACTAAATGGGAACAATGGCAGATTACACATTGTAAAAAAAAAAAAAAAAAAAAAAAGACAAACTTGAACACTGAGAATAGCAACTATATAAAATAAAACACAGAGGAAAAATGACTTTAAAATGAAAAGACAATCTGGAATCTGCGGGCAATTTTAAATAGCTTAATAAACATATAACTATAGCCTCTAAAGAGAGGAAAGACAGGGAAGGACTGAAAACATATTTGAATAGAGAATGGCCAAAAAGTTCCCAAATTTGTTGAAAACCACACACCCACATATCCAAGAAGTACGACAAACCCTTGGCAAAAGTGATATGAAAAAAACTACATTCAACTTCTCAAAATCAATAATAAAGAAAAAAAGAAAAAGTCTAAAGCTGTTGGAAAAAAACAGACAAAGCACATACAGAGGAACAAAGCTAAGAGTGACAGCAGATTTCTCATTAGAAATAATGTAAGCAAGAAGACGGTGGAGTATTAAAAGGAAAAGAAAAAAAAAACTATCGATCTAGAATTTTCCAACCAGAAAAAAAATCTTAAAAATGAAGATGAAACAAAGAGTTTTATAGACACAAAGAAGTTGAAAGAATTCACCATGCCTAGACCTGCACTACAAGAGATATTACATATTAGGCAAAAAGAAAATCATTCCAGATAGAAATTTGGATCTATGTAAAGCAACAAAGAGCAATAGAATGGTAACTACACAGGTAAATATGCAAGATTTTGTTATTATTCAAATTTTCTTAAAGAGACTATTTAAACAAATAAGCAAATAGAAAAAAATAATGTTCCAGGGCATTGTCTGGCTCAGTTATGGGAGTATGCAACTCTTAATCTCAGGGTTGTGACTTTGAGCTCATTCTGAGTATGATTACTTAAAAATAAAATCTTAAAAAAAAAAAAAAAAGGAAAGAAAAAATAACGAAAGAATGTTCCAAACGAGTGAAAACCCTGAGCAACATAGGAATGATATAAAAGATAAGAAGTAGTAGAGAACAGCCCAATTATTCTTGAATAGAATTATTCTTTGCAAAAAAAAAAAGAATTATTCTTCACACAGAGCAACTGGTCTATGTAAAAGAAACAAAGACAAAGGTAGGAAGATACCACACTGCTAAGGGCCTTGTCATAAAAGCTATAGGGAAGAATTTTTTTTCTTTAATTAAAACAGTACATGAACCAAAGGTTGCTGTTGTTACACTTCCTAAGATTAATTTGCCAGCACAGTACAGGATGGATTAGAAGGTAGATAAAGAAGACAGGAAAAACAATAAAGATAGCCTACATGTGAAAAAATAAAGTCCTGAGTTAGGATAATACTATGGAAACCAAAAAGGAAACTGATGGGTACCTAACTGGAGAGACAATTGTATAGGGAGCTCCTGGTGGGGAGGTAGCAAAGACAAGTCATATTTCCAGTATAAGAACCTCTTCCTTCAAAATTCCAGAGTGAATCATCCATAGGGAAAAAAGAAACTGATTATACTGGTTTTACCATGATTTTGGAAAGGTATCATTTTTTCTTAATCATTTCATCCTCTGTGCCTTTGCCTGTCCAATGGTATATTTTTGTAATAGAATACAAAACAAAAATGTAGGAGATATGGAAAAGCTGATGATAATGCCATACAATGTGAAACAGAAACATAAACTCAAATCTCCACTGTATTAATACTGCAGGCAAAGGGTCAAAATGTGAAGAAAATACTTGCTACTAAACTCTTCCTCTAATACCAAAAGATTGGGCTGAAGTGCCATTTCCTGATTCTCTCTGGTAATTTTAGTAACAAGACAAAATTATCAGTTTAAATAAGTAAAAATGTTTAAAAAGGAAAATATTTATAAAACTTACAGACTAAACTACACCAATTGCACTTATAAATCCATTAAAGATACCATCAATTGACTAACAGGCAAATGTTTTGCATAGGATTGAAGTATACATTACCAAGGAATTTCAGAAAATTTATGCCATTTTATATAATCAATAAAATGAATTGACAATTTCAAATAAATAAAAGTATTAAGCAAGAATAACACATACTAAAGCTTTACTTGTGTGAAAAATCCAATTGACACTTATGCTTTTGATTATCCAATTTTACATGTTTTTAGCAGACATGAATACCCTTTGATTCACAATTCTCTGCTACCTTTTATTAGATAATTAAGTTTTTACAAAATGACTTTAATGCATATTTCATAAAGTAAATGTAAAAACAAGAGTATTTCAGAAAACTCAGAGACAGAAAACAAACAAACAAAAAAGATAACACAGCAAAGTGACAGGACTTCCTACACTAATTTCTAATATATATGGCAAGCACTATTGGCATTTGCATCTGTATGAGAACACCTAGTAACTGTCTCTGCATGAAGTCTTTGATGTGAGAATCACTTTTGTTCTGTAACAAACATGATAAAAATAGACACACGAAAATGCTATTTTAGCTTGGTAATGGTGAGATAAGAGCATCTTATATAATCAGTCATTACTAACAGCATGCCACTGTTTCCCAAACAGACCGGATTTTGACCTTGTCAAAGGCCTGTGGGAAGGACTCTACTCGCCTACTGGGAATGTCAAATATAAAGAAAGAGAGGTCTCTGAAGAGCTGGTCCCTGAAGCACATCAACAGCTCCATGCAGAAGCAGCCACCACCTAGGTCAGTGGGCCACCTGTAATAAATTCATAAGTAAAAGTCAAGAGGTCCAGCTGGCCAATCTTTGTTGCTAGTTATTTGACTAATTTTCTAAGTACCCAAGATGTGAAAGAATAAGAATTTTCCTGGCCTCCACATCACTATTAATTGTTATTACATATAATAAAGACAACGTAAGTAAAGAGCAAAAGATTCTGGACTTCTGTCTTTCTAATGAAATTTTGTTTTACTAGCTTCAACTTCATTTTGTTGGAAAATAAATACTGGAAATAAAAACTACCCATTTGAAGGGAAAAATAACTAAAAGAAAATGCTGCATAAAAGTATAAAGACATTTTTAAGTGTTTATAAGCTAGAAACATCAGTAAAATTCAAAATAGCAAACAGAAAATTGCACACCATGCATGAGTTGTTTTAGTGTATCATTTGTAAAAATACATCCCCAAAATGTTAAGAAGAGGGATAAAGTGTCCCCTCAGAGTTTAAATACATTTCATACATCAAACCTTGGCTGAATCTGATTTGGCTTCATTTTTTATTTATTTAATAAATAAATAAATTTAATAAATAAATAATGTCAATACCTTCAGGATGTGCCTTACTCACTCCCCAGGGGCCTTTATATCACTAGCTAAAGCCTGAGCAGCAAGGAGGAAAAAGGAATGTACACCTCCTATTATGGTTAAATCCAAAACAAATTCTGCTTCTTTATCTTTTGATTTAAGAATGCCACACTCACTGATTGTTTACCTAAATCCTCTTGAGGGTAAGATAATTGTGAAATTTCAATATTATATATTGTGTTTAATAAGAATGGGCTTAATTACACTAAACTGGTTATAAGAGTAATATCCTCCAGTACACCTATAGTTAAGAGGTATTTGTCATCTCCTTCTAGAGAAATTACTGGAAAAGTATCTTTGCCTTTCAGTAACAGCTCATTTGTAAAGAATTTCATAATCATATTCTTTACAAATGTTTTTAAAGTACCTGAAGTATTCAAATAACAATTATTTAAGTACTGAAAATTTCAGAAAAATGATATTCTCTTTTACAATATTTTAATTTTTAAGTCCTACACAAGTTTACCGTATTCTAGTATTTGTGCTATAACAATGGTTAATATTTATAGCATTTTAAAATAGTGTTTTCTGAACATTACTGCTGTAAAAACTTATTTTCTTTAATATTAATCAATGTAAATATTTCTAAATGTAAGATCACATTCCCAAGTTCAACAAAGTAACAAGGAAAGCAGGATTCTTGTTATTACTGTTATTAATAACATTATTAGCCAATATGAACACACACAAATTTCGATTTCACATACACATACACATTTACATATGTCTACTATACAGCAGGTAAGTATCTCATTTTATTCTCTCAGCACTACCATAAGATAGGAACTATTATAATCTCCATTTTACAGAGGAGTAAGTTGAGAGACAAAAGTCCAGTAAGTTACAGCAGATCTCATTACTAGTAAATAAATGGTCAATCATAAATCAAAACCAAGTAGTCTGACTCCAGAGCCCAACACAAACTCAGTATATTTAGTTCACGGGGCAGACAAAACCACCAAATATGAAACAGTGCTGCCCACCAGACGGAATACCACAAAAATGAATACAAAAGATACAAAGTTACATATGTAGGTGACAGCAATTTTGTTTCTAAAAATGCACAGAAACAAGACCAGAAATAAATATGCTAAAATGTTAATATTTATCACTGAGTAATGAGATTTCAGTTCATCTCTCTTCTTTTCTAATACACTTGTGATTTAAATTTTGAAAGTATGACCCTCAATCAGACAACAAAAATAAAAATTAAATATAAAAGTAAAGAAGTCTGACACTCTCCAAGATGTTCCCTCTTGGCAAGATTGCCTATGCACTACCAGCTAAAACAAGGACCATAAATAACATCCCGAAGAAGACTGTGACTATTTGTTACAGAAGGTCTTAGCAGAACTCCCTATTGCACCACAGTCCAAGCAGAAATATGTTTATAGCCTGATTTGGAAAAGGACTATTTAAAACAAAGAAAGATGAAGAAAAGAAAATTTGGTAGAAGTATTCTATAGTACAACTAGGTATATAAAGGCTTTAATCACGGATAGAAGATGACTTAAAAGAGTAAAAGTAGAATAAAATGTGTTTTTAAAAGTCTAAAGAAGAAAATGTTTAGTTACACACTTAAAAATTTCCCACGGAAAATCTTAAGATTCTGTGTATAAACATTACACATAATTGTGTGTACTTCTGAGCTACACATGACTTGCTCTATATTATGCCCCATATGTAAAATTTCTGAAACTTGAAATTTTAAATGTTCTCTCTAGATCTTGAAACGTTCGTTTCAATTACCTCCTCTAATTAACTACTTCATACTGCTTTCCTGCTGTTTAAATAAAAGAATATTTTCTTCTTCCACTGTTTCTAAACTTGATACAAAATGGGTTCCTTAATCTTGTTCACATTTTCCATCATGAATTCTATAGAAATCACTTATTTTTTATAGTCTGTTGCCTTTGTCTTGTTGTAGTCTGTATATTGTCTTCAACTGCATTCCTGTGAAGATCAGTGAGCTACCTTAAAGTATTTGGCATAGTACAACAAATGAGAGGAAAATTTAAATAGTTCTTTGTTGACAATGATTATAACACTCAGAAGTAAACGCAGCAACCATTTTTACATCTTAAGGCTATTTTCCTCACATAAAAGACTTTTTAATTTCCAGGAAATCAAATTAATTTTCCATTTAATTTTCTAGTCTATCTCTTAACACTTGTTCTTACCAGTGTCCATTTGCCAGACGTATACAGAGCCATCTGAACATCCCACTACTAGGTAATCATCAGAAGGCCTCCACTTGATTACTTGAATAGGGAAAAGATGACGAGATGCCAGCATAATGCATTTCTTCTCTCGCAGACTTAGGAGTCCCACTGAGTGGTCACTGGCTACAGAGCAGATGCAGTGCTGCACTCTTGCCTAAAAAGAAGAATGATTATATTTTAGATTAAATTCAGAATAAAATGGATCTGGCCCTCAATAACATAAACCAAAATTAATTATACATTCATCACTGCTGAAAACCCACCACAGTATTACGTTGTGTCAAGAAATGTGTTCCTTCACATTATACATGAAACACCCAGTTCAATCGTGACAACACTTTAAAAAATGCTAAATTAATCCCAGATTAAAGATGGAAAAGATGCGTTGGAAAATCTGCTGTTCAAATCGGAAGATGACCTTACTAAAACGATCGCCATACAGGGGGCAGACAAAGCTGGAAAAAAATTGATCTGTAATTATGCGTTCTGCTTCCACAGTACGAACTTTCCTTTGTTAGCTGCTAGAGCGGGCTTTCTGCAGTGCTTCCTTCTGTTTGTGACTATCATTTTGGACCTATGTTCTTCCCTGCTTCTTGGCTCAAAAACAATACCTTCCTGATCCCTCAGCTACAATCATGCCTTTCAAGAGCCACAGATATTTTGTATTATGTGTAGATGTGTTTCACAGCTTGTCTGTAATGTCAGCAGGTGCACCCTCTCAATGAACACACAATAGCCAATTAAACATTCTGCTGTGTATTCTCTACTCATCTCTAGTTTTCTGCCTTTCAATTCCTTTTAAAACAAGATGGAATATAAATAACCAAAGACAGTAAAGATGTTCACTAGCAACAGAGAACTGAATTCACAATCTGGACAATTAAAAAATTAAGGTATTAAAATTTTTAAGACAATTTATAAGCTATTTAAAACAGAACCTTTTAGTGATTTAATAGACTATGCTTTCAGTTAGTTCTTACTGAGGTGAAACCATATGAAAACAGCTACACATCGCTATATATATATTGTGAATAATATTGGGGATGAGGCCCATTGCACTACATATATATGGCTTATCCCTTCAGTGGTGTCCAAAGGAGAAACTTTTCAAATCTCATTGGGCTGGGCTTCACCAAAGCAAACATTTTTAGCTAAAGAACAATGCCACGTTGATTGGTACATCTCAACGCGGCATTGAATGGGAAATGTTGACAGGTATCAAATGAAAAGAGGTAGGGGTGGCCAAATGTGCTGAGAAAACGCAAGTTACAGTTGTTGATTTTACCACAGAACTTCAAAGAACCTGTAACAGGCTGATGTGAATAGAATTATCTCTATGAGGGGAACACAGTTATCGCTCATCTCAAAGTTTATTTGACCAAGGTAGTCTTAGAAGACTGAGTTTTGGAGGAACACACTTTGGGGAAAACTGCTGTAGCTGATTCCTTTCACATTCTGGCTACTAAGACACCTAGGCCTGAATTTTCTACTCATCACAGTGGGGGTGAGGGGGACACGCACTTCTACAGGAGGACTCTTGGCCTCCTCTACCTTCTCCCCTCAGTTTCTCTTCATCATTTAGCTTCATTTTTATCTTACTGAATAATGTTTATTTTTGTAAACAACATAAAATCAATTTTTGAATGAAGCAGAGCATGAATAAAGCAAAGACAGTAAGATTTAACTATCTACTTTGTTCTCAAATTCAGGTATGTTAACCTTTTATTCCATGTTAGCTTTATTTGTATTTTTTGTTATACAATGATTTAAATACTATAACCAGCAACCAGCATAGCAGGTATTTACTAATTTTAAGTTAAAAAACCAAGTTCAGAAAAATGTTATAAACCTTTATTAAAACATCATATAGGGATCCCTGGGTGGCGCAGCGGTTTGGCGCCTGCCTTTGGCCCAGGGCGCGATCCTGGAGACCCGGGATCGAGTCCCACGTCAGGCTCCCGGTGCATGGAGCCTGCTTCTTCCTCTGCCTATGTCTCTGCCTCTCTTTCTCTCTCTGTGACTATCATAGATAAATAAAAAAACTTAAAAAAAATAAAAAATAAAAAATAAAACATCATATAGAATTTTTCTAAACAAGCATTTTTTTGAGTTTAATCTTGTTCTCTGATAAGCATTCAACTGTAACATAAAACATGATTTCTTCCTTTAAAAGGACATAAGGACTGAGGGGTAGCTGACGATGGCACACAAAACTTAGCTTTATAATTAAATAATGATTCAAAATAAAGTGGCAAACTACAAAAAAAATAATTTAAATATGGCAAAGTTAGGATAAAACAGGGCAAAGATATTTCAGACCACATAAAATGAGTTGCACCAGACACATTGCTAACCAAAGATAACAGTTTGATACATGGATGCTTTGCATTTCTACAGATTACCCTTAGTAACAACTTTGTATTTATCAAATATATCCATCCTTCAATTCACAAAAAGGGATGGTTGCCACATTAATGGTTAACTACTATTACTATTTAGCAACATCAAATTGCCAAAAAGGAATCATTTTATTTCTCTCATATATGAAATAAATGTTTGCAGGGATCTTTTCCTCTATGTATGATTTACTAAAAAGAATGCCTTCTGGAGAATATTTCTTTTCATCTGTCCACGCCCTTTAATCAGGTACCGATCTGCCACAGTGCACACAACACCCGCCACTGCTTGTGACTCTGCTACTTTGACTCACAAGCTCCTCATCTTTAAATGAACTACTGTGGGCCCCTGGGTGGCTCAGTGGGTGAAGCATCTGCCTTCAGCTCCAGTCATGATCTCGGGGTCCTGGAATCAGCCGCCATTGGGGCTTCGGCCTCTCCCTCTGCCCCTCCCCCCTGCTCATGTGCTCTCACCCCCTTCCCTCTCTCTCTCTCAGATGAATAAAATCTTTTAAAAAAATAAAAAATGTTTAAAAATGAGCTAATGCTTCACTGATGCCATATACCTCACTAGCTGACTCGCTGGCCCCCAAGTCCACAGTCATCTCATCTGAGTCCAGGTGCACTCTTGGCATTCCATTTCAAAGAGAGGCAGGAGTTGGGGTGAAGTTTCCAACAACAGGTGAATTTTCACCAAGATTCTTTACTATGTTTCGTGCTCCTCAAGCTACGATCTACGGGTAGATCTTAACATCCAAGGGTATACAGAAGTACTGGCAACTATTGACTAACACATTCTCTCTGCCAAATGTCTTATGGTAGGATGGTTTATAACTTAGCAGAGAGGACTGCAGACACTTAGTAAACAAACAAAAAAAGGCTTCCCCATTCCTATGAGGAACTTAATCTCCAGGCATCAACTCCCCAAGAGAAGTTTCAATTTTCACCCTCCCCATTTATATACAGGTGGGAAAATTTAAAAATTCAAGAAAATGTAATCCACCCTCAAGAAAAGACTTAAAAACTCTACATCATCTTATCACTGTTATTAGTAAAAATAAAGGACAAAAGAAATACTATATAACAGCAAAGGATCTTCTTTTAAAAAGTAGCACTGGGTGTTATTCTATATGTTGACAAATTGAACACCAAAAAAAAATAAATTTATAACAAAAAAAAGTAGATTAAATCATATTCTGAAGGGAAAAAATAAACTTAATTCAAAAAATTCTAGCTTTTCATTACCACACAAAAAACTAGTACCTCAGTACCACATACACACTTACACATACATGCTTTGAAGAACAGTTCTGTTCCTCTTTCACACAGTGCAATAATGATGAAAATAGGAAAATGACATGCCCCACCCCCCACACACAAAAAAATGTGTGGTCCAAACTAAAAATGACATATCATCCCTGTAAATGAAAATAAGCATCTGAAGAGTTAACTCTAGCTTTACTGTAATAAGCAACAGTCTGGAAATAGCCAAAATAATCAAGACTGAAAACAAAACAAAACGAAAAAATCAATACTGCTAAGCCCAAGAAAGCATAGTTATTAGAGGTACTTAACTCACAAGAAAAGATGGCTCTCTGCTTTTTAAATATGGATTAAAATAAATCTAATTCTTCTTCTTTCAAAAAAATGCTAGTCCAACTCGTGTGAAGAAAACTGGCCTAGAGTGGAAATAGCCCAATACAGTAAAACCTCATTAATTTTGATTCCACTAATTAATTGTGGGTTGATGGTTACCTTCACAGGCTGTGTGAAAACAAATTAATGGTATAAACAAAGCAAATGTCTAGCCTATTTAAATGTAAAAGGAAAAAAGACCATTCTCAAGCACCACTTTGGTATTAATTTTAATTCAAACAATGAACAGAGTAATGATAAATAATTCTCAGCTATCTGTTAAATGAAAGCACTTAAAAGATTTGCTAAAATGCAATTAACTTGGTTTCTTATCTGTCCTCAAAATTACTAAAGAAGCACTTCTTAAATAATATTTAGTAACTCCTATCTCTGATTTAGACCCAGCTTCCCCACAAATGAACTGAATTACAATTCTTTTATTATTAAATTATTAAATTCCAGGGATCTTGGTTCTTGAACATCTAATTCACCTACAATGACTCATTCCATAATTCAATTAATTTCATTCTACTTAACTTTGTTCCACTTTAACCTGGAAAAGTCACCTAAATGTGACTTAACGTCAAGGACACTGTAAGGGGATTATGCATAAGACATTTAAATTGTGTAATTAAAATAATACAACTAAAAAATGTGAACCTCATGCATCTATGCTACTTTTTTGACCACATACCCATTCATTAAAAAAACTTTGTAATGTATTCCCATTGTATGTATATTTAAAAATTATATATGTGCTCCTGTGCCAATATATCATGTACATTGTAAACCACGCACAAAAAATTATGTTTTAAAAGAATGACTCAGAGGTACACCTGGGTGGCTCAGTTCATTAAGGGTCAGTCTGCCTTTAGCTCAGATCATGGGATCCAGCTCCCATGTTAGGCTTCAGCTCAGCGGGGAGCCTGCTTCTCCCTCTCCTGCTGCCACTCCCCACTGCTCATGCTCTCTCAAATAAATAGGATCTTTAAAATATATATAATAAAAAATGACTCGGGGCGCGTGGGTGGCTCGGTTAAGCACCTGACTTCAGCTCAGGTCATGATCTCCGGGTCCTGGGATGGAGCCCCACTACCCCGTCCCTGTCTGGCTCCTTGCTTCA